CTATTAGAATTATTCTCAACTAATATTATATCATTAGTCAATTGATGATTTGGACACCATTGTTGGATACGGCATCTTTATTTAGTGTATCTTTCTTTATATCTTTTGTTTTGGATAGTATAACAATTATTTTACAAATGCTCAAATTGTTTCGTCCAGAGTGTACAAATCCCAGCACTGCCGTAAATGAATATATAAAGTTGCTGAAAGTGAAAATACATTGATTACATATATACGTACCAAAGAGACATTCCTTTATTATCAGTCACATGGAAAGTGAAGGCAAGTTCGACAATAGCGAATTTATTTTGATGCCATTATTTTCTAATGAACGCTCTGTTTGTAGGTTGCTATTAAAGAATGTTTAATAGAGAAGAAGCTGAGACTTGAAATAGTGATGAATGCACGTCCAAAGAATAAATCCAATAATTAAAACACAACGGAATACTTCAACTGCACCCAACGCCATCATCAAACCATAATAAGGTGAAGCATGCTAATAAAATACGCAGTACAATGATTTAAAGTGTATTTAGTCTTAATATGTATTAGTAAAAGTATTGGCCAATCAAATTTCTATTAATATTTAATAAAATTCAAAGAAAAAAAAAATAGATCTATAAATAAAAAGATTTGCTTTTCCCACAAAATTTTTCAATTTTTTTTCTTTCCGCTTTCCTAGCCATCCACATTTAATAGAATACTGTACTGACAAACTTTCATAATATTGGCAGATAGCTTAACTAACCATGGAAGAAGCACTTACTAAGCCAAGGAATGTTACTCATACCTTATATAAATTATATAACTGGTTACAAATGGAAATAATTGATCTTAATCCTGAATTCCAAAGAGGTAAATGCCCTGCTTGTCTTTTTGCATTATATATGTTACAGTCGATAGATAGATATAATTATATATGCGTATGTATGGCATTTAATAAATATCAATAAACAAAAATTTACTAATAATTTCTGCGCCACGCTTCATATATATCAGATGTTGTATGGACAGGTAATTTATTGATATAGCATTATGTTAAATTCTGTCTATTAATATCAAATATTCAATGAATCCATTCTGATGATTGTCTAAAAAAATTTTTCCGATAGCAATTAAACAATCTCATCTAATAGATTCAATCCTTAACAACTTTTACGTTCCACCAATAATTTTTTCTTGTAAAAAGTTAGATAACAAAAAATGGATCAGAGTATGTATTGATGGTAAACAAAGGTTGACTGCTATCAGAAAGTAAGTAGAACAATTTTATCAATCTATATTCTTATTACCAATCTTTTGCAACTTGCTAAACTCACAAAATCATCCATTCGTCCATTCATTCATTCATCCCTCATATATAATATATTCACAAATAATAGATATATGGACAATGAAATTCCACATAGTAGCCCATCAGATGGAAATATTTCTAAAAAATTTTATAAAAATACTAATGGTAAAAAGGCATTGAGCGAGGCTGAAAGAGAATTATTCGATTGTTCTGAATTGCTTTGTGGTAAGCATATTTCATATCAACATGCATTTACATTTATATATTATAACTAATCTCACGAATGATCATCGCACCACCATTCACACTATCTTATTTATTTTGTAGTTGAATATTATGATCTTTCATTGCAACAAGAACAGGAAATTTTTAGTAGGGTCCAATTAGGTGTTG